GCTATCTGCCTGCCTAGGCCTCCCAAAGTGCTGTGATTCCAGGCATCAGTCACTGCACCCAGCCTGGTCAGTTAATTCTTTTTATTTCTCTAAAAATTAGAGAATATATAGATGGGGTTCTATCTACCTACCTACCTATCAATGAATGAATGAATGAATGACAAGAGTCTGGCTCTGTGGTCCAGGCAACAGTGCAGTGGCACCATCTCGACTCACCGCAACCTCTGCCTGCCTCCCAGGTTTAAGCAATTCTCCTGCCTCAGCCTCCTGAGTAGCTAGGATTACAGGCACCTGCAACCATGCCCAGCTTTTTGTATTTTTAGTAGAGACGGGGTTTCACCATTTTGGCTAGGCTTGTCTTGAATTCCTGATCTCAAGTGATCGGCCCACCTTGCTTCCCAAAGTGCTGGGATTACAGGTGTGACGCCATCATACCCAGCCTGGTTATTCTTATTTTTAAATGTGGCTACAAAATATAAAACTGTTTCTGTCGTCATTCTTGTATTGATATTTTTTTTCTGGTGGGAGCAAGCATCCTAACATCTTTGTATTATACGTTAACTAATTAATACAGATGAGAGGGTTTTATGTTGCCCAGGGCCAAGACAACAGGCCTGAGCCACCACAGCTCCCTATTTATTTTTTTGAGACAGGGTCTTACTCTGTCACCCAGGCTGGAGTGCAGTGGTGCAATCTCAGCTCACTGCAACCTCCACCTCCTGGATTCAAGGGAATCTTCTGAGTCAGTCACCTGAGTAGCTGAGATTACAGGTGTGGGCCACCACATCCGGCTAATTTTTGAAATTTCTTTCGTAGAGGTGGGTTTCACCATGTTGCCCAGGCTGGTCTTCATCTCCCGAGTTCAAGTGATCTTTCTGCCTTGGCCTCCCAAAGTGCTGGGATAACAAGAGGTGAGTCACCACACCCAGCCTATTATGTCACATACAGATCAGAGGACCTGTATTGCCTTTGTCCTTTGGTACTAAGGCATGCTCAGTCTTGGCATATGCATAAACAGAGCTCTCTCAAGTTTGTTTTTTAACAATACTTACATTGTTCTAGTATGTGCTTTGCTTCTTTGCAAAGAGACACAGATCGTCCGGAGGAGCAGGGAATGGGGGTGGGAACATGTGGATTGTCGATCTCTCGTGTGACCATCTCTAGCTGTGGTTATGGAAATCAGGGAGTTTCTGATTTCCCACACTCCTGGGGTGTGCTCCGGAGAATACTTCACTCATCTCATCTCCTTGATGAGGTTCTCCTGGGCTACTTGAGAGCTCTTATTCTTTGCAACATGAGAAGAACCCTGTTGGCTTTGCCCTGACTCATTCCTAATCAATGTAAATTAACCCTGCAGCCCAGTGCTACAGATACCTAGGGGCTAGGAGGCAGCTCCCGCTCCCGAACCGCAGAAGCCATCAACAGGTGCAAGAAGGTAATCATTTAAAAGGTTCTGGCCAGGCGCAGTGACTCATGCCTGTAATCCCAGCATTTTGGGAGGCCAAGATGGGAAGATTGCTTGAGCCCAGGAGTTCAAGACCAGCCTGGGTAACAAAGTGAGACGCTGTCTCTCCAAAAATAATAATTAGCCACATGGTGGTGGGCACCTGTAGTCCCAGCTACTCTGGAAGCTGGCACAGGAGAATCACTTGAACTCAAAAGGAGCTCAAGGCATCAGTGAGCCATGTTTGTACTACCACACTCCAGCCTGGGTGACAGAGCAAGACCCTGTCTTTAAAAACCCAAACAAAAAAAACTTGCTCTGCTAAGAGCTTAGCTACATATTATGGAAGGCCTTGTCCATATCCACACACGATTAACTAGGAAGAGATGGGTTTCAAAAGCCTGGAATGCTTTCTGCGTAAGAAACAGAGCTGGCCGGGTTCAGGGGCTCATGCCTGTAATCCCAGCACTTTGGAACGCACTCCAGCTTGGGTGATATAGCAAGACTCCATCTTAAAAAAAAAAAAAAAGCCAGTAGGCACATCACCTGAGGTCAGGAGTTTGGAACCAGCCTTGGGTAACATGGTGCAACTGTCTCTACTAAAAATACAAAATTAGCTAGGCATGGTGGCATGCACCTGTAATCCCAGCTACTCGGGAGGCTGAGGCAAAACAATCACCTGAACCCAGGAGACGGAGGTTACAGTAAGCCGAGATTGCACCATTGCATTAGAGCCTAGGCAAAGAGCAAAAACTCCATCTCAAAGAAAACAAAACAGAGTTGCACAAATCCTCTCAGGGGAAATGGGCACATGCACACTGATGCAGGGTTTCACAGCTAGCAAAGCCCTCCTAAAGGGTTTTATCTACTTATCACAATACTGTGAAACAGGTGTGATATTCTTATTCTGCAGAGGAAGAAAAATGAGCATCAGAGTAGTTTTCCCTAAGGTTATAGCTTATTTTCCCTAAGGTTATAGCTGACACAGGGCCTCAATCACTCGTTGAGCTCCAGGTCTTTTATCCCCATCTGTTTTTGTTTTTTTTTTTGAGATGGAGTTTTGCTGATTACCCAGGCTGGAGTGCAATGGCATGATCTTGGCTCACTGCACCTCCTACCTCCCAGTGTTCAAGCAATTCTCCTGCCTTAGCCTCCTGAGTACCTGGGCTTATAAGCAAGGGCCACCACACCCAGCTAATTTTATATTTTTAATACAGACGGGGTTTCTCCATGTTGGTCAGGCTAGTCTTAAACTCCCAACCTCAGGTGATCTGCCCACCTTGGCCTTCCTTCCAAAGTGCTGGGATTACAGGCGGGAGCCACCGGGCCGTCTTTTTTTTTTTTTTTTTTTTTGGAGACGGAGTTTCGCTCTTGTTACCCAGGCTGGAGTGCAATGGCGCAATCTTGGCTCACCGCAACCTCCACCTCCTGGGTTCAAGCAATTCTCCTGCCTCAGCCTCCTGAGTAGCTGGGATTACAGGCACACACCACCATGCCCAGGTAATTTTTTGTATTTTTAGTAGAGACGGGGTTTCACCTTGTTGACCAGGATGGTCTCGATCTCTTGACCTCGTGATCCATCCGCCTCGGCCTCCCAAAGTGCTGGGATTACAGGCTTGAGCCACCGCGCCCGGCTTCTTTTGTTTTTTGAGACAGGCAGTCTTGCTCTATGACCCAGGCTGGTGTGTTGTGGCAGGATCTCAGCTCACTGCAACCCCCTCTGGCTCCTGAGCCCAAGTGATCCTCTTACCTCAGGCTTCCAAGTAGCTGGGACTACCGGTGGCACCACCATGTGCAGCTAATTTGTTTCACTAAGTTTTGTTTGCTTGTTTGTGGGATTTTGCTATGTTGGCCAAGCTGGTATTAGACTCCAAAGTGATCCGCCTGCCTCAGCCTCCCAGCATGTTGGAATTATAGGCCTGAACCACTGTGCCCAGCCAGTAAAATTTTTCTTCTTTTGAGACAGGGTCTCTGTTACCCAGGCTGGAGTGCAGTGGTGTGATCTCAACTTACTGCAACCTCACCCTCAGGGGCTCAAGCAATCCTCCCACCTCTGCCTCCCAAGTAGATGGGACAATGGGTGAGTATCACCACACCTAATTTTTGTATATTTTGTAGACATGGGGTCTCATTATGTTGCCCAAGCTGGTCTCAACTTCCTGGGCTCAATCGATCCTCCCACTTTGGCCTCCCAAATTGTTGGGATTACAGGCATGAACCACAGCACCTGGTCCATGACTTTTTAAAATTACATGTGAGGCCGGGCGTGGTGGCTCACGCCTGTAATCCCAGAACTTTGAAAGTCCAAGGCAGGCAGATCACCTGAGGTCAGGCATTCGAGAACAGCCTGGCTAACATGGCAAAACCCCATCTCTACTAAAAATACAAAAAAAAAAAAAGAAAAAATTAGCTGGGTGTGGTGGCACACGCTTATAGTCCCAGCTACTCGAGAGACTGAGGCCAACCACTTGAACCCAGGAGGCGGAGGCTGCAGATCGTGCCACTGCACTCCAGCCTGGGTATCAGTCTCAAAAAGAAAAAAACAATTACACGTGGACTGTAGGCCAAATCCTGACCAGTCTTATTTAATAGTCTTACGGCTTCATATAAGGAATGAAATGGGTGGGATTGAGGAGAAAGGGAAGGAATTCCAAGAGGACGGTGAGAGAGAGGGGTGCAATCATGCTAAGAGCCTTACCTTCTTATATTCTCTCTAAACATTCTTCTGCCCTAGGTTGTTCACTGTGTCCCGCACTCAAGTAATCCTGCCTCAACTTCCCAAAATGCTGGAGTTAGAGGCATGAGCCACCATGCCTGGCCTATTACCCTTCTCTATGTCTGACAGAACAGAGTATGGGGAAAAACGGAAAGGGCATGTTGGAGTCACCCAGGGCTCTAACAACGACTCACCTCTCCCCCAGCACCTTGTGCTCCAGGTAGGTGTCAAGCCATCAATCCTCCTAAGAGCAGGAGTTTCACAAAGATGGGGACAGAAAGCAGGCAGTGTTCACCCTCCTTCCTACCGTCTCCACTGGTACATTTGTTGCTTAAAAGCACAGAAAGACAAAACTGAAATCGACCTGGCCACTCACAGGCTGTCACTTTTAAGCTACGTGAGGTTAAACTCATTTAACCTCCTGCAGCTCAGGACTGCTTGAAATAACAGCAGCCATACCCTTTATTACCATTCTATGGATTAAATAGGCTAAGGTCGGGTAAGTACTTAACAGAGTTTGTTTGGTAGCTCTTGGCAATACCAGGCAGCTGAAAAATGAGGAAGATCTCTATGAATTGATACAGGGTGATTTCCAGTGCTGATTATACGAGGTAAAAGTAACGTACCAAAGTGATACTTCTTGAATTTGCTGACTCAACTGTGGTTATGTAAAAGAATATCATTTTCCTAGGAGACTTATACTTTGTGACTGTGTGCAGAAAAAGCAGATGAGGCAGAACCGTGGAGAATCCAGGTGAAAGGCCGTCTGGGAGCTCACCACACTGCACTTTCCAGAATGATGGAAACTTGTCTCAAAAAAAGGTTAAAAGGAAAAGAAAATGGTCGTCCTTCGTTTTATTATAACCTTGTATTTTCTGGCAGAAAGACCATCTCAATGCTTGATCTCTGAACATGCAGCTCAAGCGTCGGCCTTGACATGACCTAAGCAGCAGAAATTTGGCCTATTTAATAAGCTTGCAGCCACATTTATTAGAAAAATATTCTCCTTTGCAAAGTCCTTTCTTGAAGATTGGATCCAGGGCGTTGTTCTGTTTTTATCTAATTCTCCTTCATGTGGCAGGTGGCCAGGAGGTCCGGATTTTCAGAGGCTACAGACAGCCCAGTTCCCGCTGACCCAGCAGAGCATGGCCAGGCAAAGCTGCACCGTGACACCCGCCTGGGGAAACGGGACAATGAAACTCCTCAGCAGCCACCACGGCCATCCAGTCTATCTGTGGGAACTCACATTTCACCTTTTCTTCACAAACTTCTTTCTGGAAGCATTGGGATTTAAGCGTCTCCTCCCAGCTCCCAAGGTGCTGTCCCGGAGCTGCAGTGTGGCTGAGCGGCTAGAGATATCATTCTCTACGAAGGGTGACACCCCAGCGATGTAGTCAGGGGCAAACACGTTGGTTTTCTGCCTGGCCTTTCGGGAGAGTCGTAGCTGGGGGAAGCGCTGATCCTCGGTGAGATGGGGGTTGATGGCGTATTTGCCCCCTTTGGGAGTGGGAAGCGAGTACTAAAAATAAGACAAGGAATGGCCGTTAGAAGAAAGGGATTCAGTCACAGAAGGCCACAGCTGATAAGGTGCAGCTGACCTTGCAGATCCTAAGGACAGTGCATGGTAACTGTGGCGACATGCAACTGCCTCCCACCTGATTCTCACCTCAACTCACACATGAAAAATGGAACACGGTATTTTGACTTGGCTAAAGACAATACAGAAATAGAAATACTTCCACTGTGTATTTATACACACATGTACATAATTCCTAGCTCTGTCCATTGGAGCCAAGATGCAATGACACCCCAGGACAACGAGCATGCCCAGTGCCTGAAACTTTTTTTTTTTTTTTTGAGACGGAGTTTCGCTCTTGTTACCCAGGCTGGAGTGCAATGGCGCGATCTCGGCTCACCGCAACCTCCGCCTCCTGGGTTCAGGCAATTCTCCTGCCTCAGCCTCCTGAGTAGCTGGGATTACAGGCACGCGCCACCATGCCCAGCTAATTTTTTGTACTTTAGTAGAGATGGGGTTTCACCATGTTGACCAGGATGGTCTCGATCTCTTGACCTCGTGATCCACCTGCCTCGGCCTCCCAAAGTGCTGGGATTACAGGCTTGAGACACCGCGCCCGGCCAAAACTTTACTTCTAAAAACCATCCCACGTGAAAAACCAGAGGTCCTGAGAGAAATGGCGGATCCTAGGGCACAGGCAGGAGATGGCTAAGAGTCTACGAACATCTTGTTGTGCCAGAAAGTTGTGTTCAAAGAATACCTGGGATCTGCCAAAAGAACACAGGAGCCAGCTCTAAAGGGCTCCTACTGGCCACACATGGCACAGTGTGAGGCTCAAAATGACAGCAACAGATCATAGCCTTCAGACTGAAACAAAAATCCACAAGACCACACTCATAGAAATAAATAAATGGGAATAAAAGGAAAGTTCCTCTTTATAGTGGAATACCAAGACATAAACACAGAAAGAATGCTAGAAGTCACCATTTGGTGGCCAGACATGGTGACTCACACCTGTAATCCCAGCATTTTGGGAGGCTGCGGTGGGTGGATCACAAGGTCAGGAGTTCAATACCAGCCTGGTCAAGATGGTGAAACCCCGTCTTTACTAAAAACACAAAAATGAGCTAGGTGTGGTGGCATGTGCCTGTAATCCCAGCTACTTGGGAGGATGAGGCAGGAGAATTGCTTGATCCCAGAGGACGGAGGCTGCAGTGAGCTGAGACTGTGTACTACACTCCAGCCTGGGTGACAGAGTGAGACTCCATCTCAAAAAAAAAAAAAAAAACATTTGGCAATCATGACTTTAATAACCGTTCAAGGCAACTTTAGTGAAGTTCAAGGAGAAATAACATATAGTCTCAGAGTCTCTTTCCACAAATTATTAATTATAAATAACTTTACAGTGGATGAAGGTGGCAAAAACCACTGAACCAAGTGGTCAAAGTCAGTATCACCAGTAAATTACCCAACTAGTTATCATTTACCCTCTGAAACGACACCCTGAGGACACATCAGCATTCCTTCTGGGGTGCTCCTGCCAAAAATGCACAGCCCCAATCTCAACTAAATCCCACAGAAATGCTAGACACATCCAAGGGGAGGGACATTCTACAAAGAAACGGGCTCATACTCTTAAAAAATTTCAAGGTCATCAAAAACAAAAGACTGAGAAAGAAGCGTAGTTGAAAAAAGATGAGATGACAAAATGCAACATGTTATCCTAGACTGGATTCTGGACCCCAAAAAATCTGCCTTTTGTTAGAAAGGAAATTTGTGGACCAACTGGCCAAATCTGAATTTGGGTCTGCAGATGACACAGTAGTATCGCAGCAATGCTGACTTGTTGATTTTGATAATTATACTGTGGTTACATAAGACAAAGTCCTTGTTTCAAGGTAAAGGGGCATTATGTGTACAGTTTACTCTCAGATGGTTCAGGGAAAAAAAAAAAGTGTATAAAGAAAAAAACCAGATGTGGTACAAGACTAACCCTGGAAAATCCAGGCGATGGGTAAACAGGAATTGTTGGCCGGGTGCAGTGACTCATGCCTGTATCCCAGCACTTTGACAGGCCGCGGCGGGAGGATCGCTTGAGGTCAGGCGTCGGAGATAAGCCTGGCCAACACAGTGAAACCCCATCTCTACTAAAAATACAAAAATTACCCAAGCACGAGGGCATGTGCCTGTAATCCCTGCTACAGTGGGAGGCTGAGGCAGAATTGTTTGAACCTAGGAGGTGGAGGTTCAGTGAGCCTAGATCATACCATTGCATTCCAGCCTAGGTGACAGAGACGCTGTCTCAAAAAACAAAACAAAACAAAACAAACCGGGTTGGGTGCAGTGGCTCACGCCTGTAATCCCAACACTTTGGGAGGCCAAGGTGGGCATATCACTAGGTCAGGAGTTTGAGACCAGCCTGGCCAAGATGGCAAAACCCAGTCTCTACTCAAAATATAAAAATTAGCCACATGTGGTGGCAGGCACCTGTAATCCCAGCTACTTGGGAGGCTGAGGAAGGGAATCACTTGAATCCAGGAGGAAAAGGTTGCAGTGAGCTGAGATTGTGCCCCTGCACTTCCAGCCTGGGCGACAAGAGCAAGACTGTCTCAAAAAAAAAAAAAAAAAAAAAAAAAAAAAAAAAAAAAGCCGGGCGCAGTGGCTCACAGCTGTAATCCCAGCACTTTGGGAGGCCGAGGTGGGTGGATCACGAGGTCGAGAGATCGAGACCATCCTGGTCAACATGGTGAAACCCCATGTCTACTAAAAATACAAAAAAATTAGCTGGGCATGGTGGCGCATGCCTGTAATCCCAGCTACTCGGGAGGCTGAGGCAGGAGAATTGCCTGAACCCAGGAGGCGGAGGTTGCACTCCAGCCTGGGTAACAAGAGCGAAACTCCATCTCAAAAGAAAAAAAGGAATTGTGTGTACTGTTTTTATAACTATAAATTGAAAGAAAAATGGTTCTGCTCATGCATGCAGGGCTATTTTGCTGCTGGCAGAAGCCAGTGCCACTCCTTCGACCCCCAGTCCTTTCCTCCTGATTCTCAGCGGCTGCCGTGTGTCCAGCCCATCCTGCCCTCTCTTCTGGGCTGTGTTTTCCACACCCCTTTCTCTCTGGGTCATGGGCTTCCAGAGACCCGGCCCATCCTTTACCTTCTGCACAGATCTAAACCACTGCCTTCCTCCCAATGAGCTCCCCGTTCATGAGCTGCAACTGCAGACCGGTCACTTACTCATTAGATGGCATTTGTCACACTTTCTCCCGACTGTTTTGGTACCTAGGTCACAGGCTTCAATCCTGGATCTTCCAGAACGACCAGACTAGGTTCTCTTTTTCCTTTCTGTTCTTTTCAATTCTGGCATTGGGAGGGGCAGGGAGAGGCACCACTTACCCGGAGCCCACGGGGGTTCAGCACTTTGGGGTTGCGGGAGAAGTGCATGTGCAGGGTGCCGTCGTCACTGACGGTCACAGACACTTTCTTCAGGGTCTTGTTCCCACAGTGTGAACAGAACACTCGGCTCATGTCAGAGGTTGTCCTGGGAGACACAGGAGGAGATGCTCTGTACCAAAGCCACAGGCGGCAAACACCTCCCCAGAGCACACACGAGGTGGGTCTCAGGCCTCAGGAGAAGAAAAGGGCTGAACCACACCACATGTCACAGAGACGGAGGCCACCAAGCCTCGTGCTGAAGCTGTCAGCAAACGGCTGCCACATCCCTCCAAGGGTGCAGATAAGGAAGTGTGAAAGTGAGGAGGATGCAGTTAAATGAATCCCGAACCCTTCCTACACACCGCCAGGCTCTGTTCTGTAGGGTTCACCTCACTCCTCCTGGGAGGATGGCACCATCTCCGTTTTACAGATGGGGAAACTGAGGCAAGTGACGGCAGCTTGCTCAAGGTCACCCAGCTGGTCCATGGCAGATAAACCCAGTCAGTCTGACTCCAGAATTGATGCCCTTCATATCAAGGCACTTTCTCGAAGGGCGCCTCATTACGTCACGAGCTACCTTGTCTCCAAATGTCAGCCTGGGTATTGACTCGGGAGTGGCTCTGGAGGCAGCAGAGTGCACTTATCAGTGAGTCGGCAACCACTAACACTGCCCTGGCTGAAGTAAGCCCGGGTGCTGAGGACACACCCAAGGCTTCCCTGCCTATCCACTCAGGCACCCACAGGGGACCCCGGACAGGAGAAAGCTGCTGCTGTCAACGGCACAGCAGTGGCCCAGGGCCCTGTCCTTCAGGAGTTCTCCATCAGTTCCCAACGGTCAAGACACACGACCTGCGTGGAACAGCAGGAGAAGCCGGAGGCCCTACCCGAAATCTTGTGAGTGAACTAAGCACCTCCTAACAAGTGCTGGGGCCTCATTATTTTGTACAACAAACTGTGCAGTCACGGGGCTAATCTGACAAGAATGAAGAACACTCCAAGTGTTTCTAAGAACTGAGTATTAATTTGGAGACTTTAGTGCTTCTGTAACAAAGAATGTTGAAGAAAAGGCATTTTTTTTTTTTTTTTTTTGGAGAGTCTCGCTCTGTTGCCCACGTAGGCTGGAGTGCAGTGGTGCGATGTTGGCTCACGGCCACCTCTGCCTCCTGGGTTCAAGTAATTCTCTTGCCTCAGCCTCCCAAATAGCTGGGATTACAGGCACATGCCACCACCACACCTTGGCTAATTTTTCTATTTTTAGTAGAGACGGGTTTTTACCATGTTGGTCAGGCTGGTCTCGAACTCCTGACCTTGTGACCTACCCACCTCGGCCTCCCAAAGTGCTTGGATTACAGGCATGAGCCACCGCGCCCAGCTCCAAAAATGGAATTTTATGAAGCCAAGTGCTTTACTGTCATAAGCCTGAAACAGCAAAATGACAGGAAGCATCAGAGGAAGGTACAGGCAGCTCTCAGTAGTGACTGGCTGTCATCGGCAGGGCCACAGTGGCTGGCAGAGCCTGAGTGCTGGGTTATGCTCAGGCCTTCAGGGAACAAGGCTTCACAGAGGCAACTCTCCCTGCCCAGTGGAAGAGCTGGGGATCTAGTTAGGCACCTCAGATGATTCAGAAAATTCCTCATGGGCCTCTACAGCAAGAGCACCACCAGATGATCTACGTGATGTCCCCCAGACCCAGCCTGAGCCTGCAGAATGGCAGATGCCACCCCAGAGCAAGCCCACAGGCCACCCTCCACAAGCAAGGCTGACGCAGAGGCAGAGGCTCTTCCAAGCCAACCAGATGGTCTCCAGGGTTCCAGAGGCCTCCCTACAGAACAGCAGCCCCCAACACAGGAACAAACTCAAGAGCCAGAAAAGCAACAAGAAGGCAGTGGTCAAGAAACTAACAGTTCACCCACTCGACACGCATGCTGCTTATGTGTCGGATACCAGAGTCCTCGACTGTCTTCCTAGTTCCTCACAACCATCTTCTCAATCTTATTACCAATATGACAGGGCTGGGCGTGTTGGCTCACACCTGCAATCCCAGCTCTTTGGGAGGCCAAGGCAGGTGAATCACTTGAGCTGAGACATTTGAGACCAGCCTGGCCAACACAGTCAACCCTGTGCCTACCACAAATACAAAAGAATTAGCGACATGGTGGCGGGTGCCCTGTAGTCCCAGCTATTCAGGAGGCTGAAGCAGGAGGATCACTTCAACCCGGCAGGCAGAGACTGCAGTGAGCCTGGATTGTGCCACTGCACTCCAGGCAACAGAGTGAGACTCTGTCTCAAAAAGCAAAACAAAACAAAACAAAACAAAAACACAAACAAGAATCTGGGCCTTGCTCAGTGGCTCATGCGTGTAATCCCAGCACTTTGGGAGGCAGGTGGATCGTGAGGTCAGGAGATCAAGACCACCCTGGCTAATACGGTGAAACTCTACAAAAAATTAACCAGGCATGGTGGCAGCGTGCCTGTAGTCCCAGCTACTGAAGAGGCTGAGGCAGGAGAATCGCCCGAACCCAGAAGACGAAGGTTGCAGTGAGATCGTGCTGTTGCACCCCAGCCTGAACCAGAGTGAAACTCCGTCTCAGAAAAAAAAAAAAAAAAAAAAAAGAATCTGACTGGTGGGTAGCTCACACCTATAATCCCACCACTTTAGGAAGCTAGGGTAAAAGGATTGTTTGAGGCCAGGAGTTCAATATCAGCCTGGGCAACACAATGAGACCTCATCTCAAAGTAAAAGAATGTGAAGCACAGGGAAGTGAATCAGGTTTTGCAAAATCACACAGGCAGCAGGACCCAGAATCTGGATTTGAATCCATGTACTCTTCTTTTTGTAAATAAAAAATCTCCAAGCATAAAGCAGACAGAAGAACACAACAAACCCCCATGTATCCATCACCCCCCAGCTTCAAAAACTCTCAGTTCATGGCCAGTCTTGTTTCATCTCCACCCCTACCCACTTCTTCTACTTGTGGATTATGTCAAAGCAAATCCCAGACTCTCCATGGCCAAATATTTTAGTATGTACCCCTAAAGAATAAAGTTTATTGTTCCAAAACCCATGTCCCTAACCCTATGCCACTGAGAGAAGGTGGGAGGTCACTGGAAACCTCTGTCCCCAAGTTCTCAGTGCCCTGGACAGAACCCAGGCCCCAGAGGAATGACAAGGTGGAAGAAACACACATACATAATACAGGGCTCTCTTCAAACAACTCTGCAGAACAGGAAGAGTGGGCAAAGCACGGTGGCTCATACCTGTAATCCCAGCACTTTGGGAGGCCAAGGTGGATGGATCATTTGAGGTCAGGAGTTCAAGACCAGCCTAACCTACATGGTGAAACCCTGGCTCTACTAATACAAAAATTAGCCGGATGCAGTGGTACGCACCTGTAATCCAGCTACTCGGGAGGCTGAGGCAGGAGTATCACTTGAACCCGGAGGCAGAGGTTTCAGTGACCGCACCCCAGCCTGGGTGACAGAGCAAGACTCTGTCTCAAAACAAAGAAGCAGGAAGAGTGTTCCACAGAGGCAACTGGGGCCAGGTCACCAGCTACGTACTTGAAACAGCCGTGGCAGCGCAAGATGTAGCTCCGGGCCTCGCGGATCAGCATGCCGTTCACCGCCAGCACGTGCAGCCCCAGCTGCAGCAGAACATTCTACAACCACAAGTTAAAGATGGAAAAAACTCAATTTTATTTTCACATTAATTTTGTAATCACAGTTACGGGAACTTCACAAACCCCGCTTTGCCCATATTCCTTGGCTTTTGCTAAGGAAACAGGCTGGGAGGCCTCTCAAGATGTGTAAACAAGGACGAGGACCCAGGTGTCTTTCTAACACCACCCTGGAACCTGCCCTCATCATTTTCCATGACCTGTCACTAGCAAACACTCTCAACAGACATTTATTTTGTCTGGGCCAAATATATTTATTTCTGGGCTGAACCCTCTCTAAGAATCTGACTGACCACATGATGTTATATATGCAGAAAAAATATATATAATAAACAGTAAACATTTAATGTACTATACAACAGGCCAGGCGCGGTGGCTCATGCCTGTAATCCCAGCACTTTGGGAGCCTGAGGCGGGCAGATCACATAAGGCTGGGAGTTCGAGACCAGCCTGACCAACATGGAGAAACGCTGTCTCTACTAAAAATACAAAATTAGCCAGGCATGGTGGCACACGCCTGTTAATTCCAGCTACTTGGGAGACTGAGGCAGGAGAATCGCTTGAACCTGAGGGTGGAGGCTGTGGTCAGCCAAGATCATGCCACTGCACTCCAGCCTGGGCAACAAGAGTGAAACTCTGGGCCAGGCGCAGTGGCTCACGCCTGTAATCCCAGCACTTTGGGAGGCCGAGGCGGGTGGATCACGAGGTCAAGAAATCGAGACCATCCTGGTCAACATGATGAAACCCCATCTCTACTAGAAATACAAAAAAAAAATTAGCTAGGCATGGTGGCGCGTGCCTGTAATCCCAGCTACTCAGGAGGCTGAGGCAAAAGAATTGCCTGAACCCAAGAGGCGGAGGTTGTGCTGAGCCGAGATCGCGCCATTGCACTCCAGCCTGGGTAACAAGAGCGAAACTCCATCTCAAAAAAAAAAAAAAAAGAGTGTAATCCCAGCACTTTGGGAGGCCGAGGTGGGTGGATCACGAGGTCAAGAGATCAAGACCGCAGACCGCCGGGCGCGGTGTCTCAAGCCTGTAATCCCAGCACTTTGGGAGGCCGAGGCGGGTGGATCACGAGGTCAAGAGATCGAGACCATCCTGGTCAACATGGTGAAACCCCGTCTCTACTAAAAATACAAAAAATTAGCTGGGCATGGTGGCGCGTGCCTGTAATCCCAGCTACTCAGGAGGCTGAGGCAGGAGAATTGCGTGAACCCAGGAGGCGGAGGTTGCGGTGAGCCGAGATCGTGCCATTGCACTCCAGCCTGGGTAACAAGAGCGAAACTCCGTCTCAAAAAAAAAAAAAAATGTACGATACAACAAATGTTGTCACTGAATCACGTGACTGTCTAGTCTCTAAGCAAAACTAAAAATCACCAAAGGGCACAGGTAGTTTCTAGAACCACAAAAGCAGCACTACACAGCACCAGCTCTGTGTACATTTGCACACCTTGCTAGCACCACTGCTGATGACGTGCGTGACACACAGCCCCGGCCCACCCCACCCACCTGCATGGCGAAGTCTGTGGTCACGCAGCCGACCCGCACGTCCTTGGGGACGTCGCACTGCTCCAGCTCCTGCTGGATCTGCTGGATGTTGCTGGGGGTTATCCAGCCACCCGCATCGTCATCACTGTCATCTTTTCTGTCTTCAAACCCGTTTTCTTCCTCCTCCTCCTCACTTGGAACATCCTCACTTCTGTCAATCTGAAACATAAACAGACGTTTCAAACTCCCAGCCCATAGGAGCAGTGGGGAGAAGCGTCGTCAGGGAAACCAAAAGTCAAGGCCTCACCAGCAGCTCCTGCAGTTCATGATCGATGTTGGGCAGAGGGTTTCTCCAGAACATGAAGGAACTAAATTCCAGGTTCTCAGGCTCACAAGCTGGGCATCCTTTCTCTACTGTTTTTTGTGGGGGTTTAGGCTGAAATTAAAAGTAGTAATTTTAAAACCTGAAAATTCATCTGTAGCATCTCAGGTTACAAATGAAATCACATATGACATACAAGTCAGATCAGACAGGGCTGGACAAACTGTGTTATTGGTCCATGTAAATTTGGTTCCCTGTAACAGATAACTTAGAGATATGACATGGTTCAGAAAAGAGCATGAAGAGCACAGCTTGTCTAAGAAATTACCTTGGAGGGCAGGTGGAAACCTGAAATGTGCAGAGGTGTTTCTGGGTGCTGAATTGATGAACTCACTTTAACCTTTAAAAAAACAAAAAACATATTTTACCCCTGGTTATCAAAATTAAAGATAGCCGCCGGGCGCGGTGGCTCAAGCCTGTAATCCCAGCACTTTGCAAGGCCAAGGCGGGCAGATCACGAGGTCAAGAGATCGAGACCATCCTGGTCAACATGGTGAAACCCCGTCTCTACTAAAAATACAAAAATTAGCTGGGCGTGGTGGTGTGCGCCTGTAGTCCCAGCTACTTGGGAGGCTGAGGCGGAAGAATTGCTTGAACCCAGGAGGCGGAGGTTGCAGTGAGCCGAGATTGTGCCACTGCACTCCAGCCTGGCGCCTGGCGAAAGAGACTCTGTCTCACAAAAAAAAAAAAAAAAAAAAAAAAAAATTAAAGATAGCCACTTTTTTTTGAGATAGAATCTTGCTCTGTTGCCCAGGCTGGAGTGCAATGGCACAATCTCGGCTCACTGCAAACTCTGACTCCCAGGTTCAAGCGATTCTCCTGCCTCGGCCTCCCAAGTAGGTGGGATTACAGGCATGCACCACCAATCCCCACTAATTTTTGCATTTTTTAGTGGAGATAAGGTTTCACCATGCTGTCCAGGCTGGTCTCAAACTCCCAGCTTCAAGTGATCCACCCCGCCCAACTCAGCCTCCGAAAGTGCTGGGATTACATATATGAGCCACCACACCTGGCTGACACCCAATGTTTAAAAAAAAAAAATGGAGAATAAAAATTAAAAAAAAAAAAAAAAATAGCTGGATGTGGTGGCTCACTAAATCCCAGCCCTCAGGAAGGCTGAGAGGTAGGAGGATTGCTTTGGGCCAGGAGTTTGAGATCAGCCTGGACAAAAGTGAGACCCCGTCTCTATAAAAAATTTTCTCTGATTAGCCAGGTGTGGTGACGTACACCGATAGTCCCAGCTACCTGGGAGGCTGAGGTGGGAGGACTGGTTGTGCTCAGGAGTTTGATGCTGCAGTGAGCTGTGATCAGCACCACTGTACTCCAGCCTGGGTGATGGCAAGATACTGTCTCATTAAAACACTACCAACAACAACAAAATACCAGGTGTGGTAGTTCATGCCTATAATCTTGGCATTCTGGGAGGTCAAGGTGGTCCCAAGAGCTTGAGACCAGCCTGGGCAACACAGAGAGACCCCCTCTCTTCTGGAAAACAAAAACAAAAACAAAAACAAAAACTGAGGGTAGTTTCAGCTAGTGCAAAAATGTGAGTCCACCACAGTTTGATGACTTTAGGCAGGGAAGATCAAGCAATTGTCAACACTATTGAAAATGAATTATTATTAAAATTTTTGGCTTTTAAAATCTTCTGGCTTAGACATAGATAATGGGTCCAGGCACAAATTTATCAGTCTCCTCAACCCAGCCACACTGGGCAAAACCCTAAAAGCACAATCAGAAGTACAAGTTTTAAAGGAGGCAAGTCTTGAAAAAACACTTTTAAGTACTCAGTGTTTCTCCTTTTTTACCTCCAGAAAGCTCTCTCTTTTTTGAGGCAGGGTCTCACTCTGTCACCCAGGCTGGAGTACAGTGGTATGATCACAACTCACTGCGGCCTCAATCTCCTGGGCCCAAGTGATCCTCCTGCCTCAGCCTCTTAAGTAGCTGGAACTACCAGTGCACACCACCATGCCTAGCTAGCTTTTGCTTTTTTTTTTTTAAAGACATGGGGTTGCCCACACTGGTCTCAAATACCTAGGCTCAACTGAGCCTCCTGCCTTGGCCTCCCCAAGCCCTTAGATTATAGGTATAAGCCATGGAACCTGGCCAGAAAGAATTGCTTTTTAAAATATTATTATATATAGATATATTTTTATTCTTTTTCATTTTTCCACATTTAAACAACCTTTCCCAAAAACCTAAAGATCAAAAGAGACTAACCAGGAGGCCGAGGTGGTAGGATCACTTGAGCCCAGGAGTTCTGAGACCAGCCTGAGCAACACAGCTAGACCCTGGCTCAAGGTGGGAAAAAATGGGACTGAGATACATTTGCTGACTGTAACGTACGAACCTCAATGGGATCCTGAACCAAACTCTTAACATTTACAAAACAACCAGGAAATGTGAACACTGACTGGATATTTCATATTAGGCATTACTATTAATTTCGTGTAGGTGTAATGATGGCTTTGAAGTTTTTAAGAGTCTTGATTTTAAAAGACATACCAAGAAATATCTATCAGTAAAATAGCATACATTGTCTGAGTTTAGAATACTGAGGGCTACAGATCAGTGTAGATGAACACAGACTAGCTATGATATAACAGTGGAGGGGGATGACGGGGACCCCGGGTCCATTACACAAGTCCCTCTACTTTTGTATATCTGATGGTTTCCATAATAAAAAGCTTTAAAAAAACCCATTCTCTTGATTTACCTTCTGTGGTTCTTGTTTTAGGTGAGACACCCCAACAAACTCTGCTTCCAACTGGTATGTGAGCGCAAGCACTTGGATGTCCGTGGCAGAGAGGCTGGGGTAGTCTCCTGTTTTCTTTGAAAACTCAGTTACTGTAAACAAGAGATTTCCATCTTCAGTTAGAGGCAAAAAGCCATATGACCTTGGATAACCAATGGAATTATCAAAAAACAATTTAGAAAGGATCACTACGTCATGAAAAACCGTTAACACTTTCATCGATTTTCTGACCTTTTCCTATTCATAGTTGAAAAATTTCTATTCTCTACCACCAAGATTCGTGCCTGTTAGGTTTACTGTCACATCCTTATCAAATGCAGAGGAAAAAGCAGAAAGTTGGCCAGGGCCAGGCGCAGTGGCTCACACCTATAATCCCAGCACTCTGGGAGGCCAAGGCAGGCAGATCACTTGAGGTCAGGAGTTCAAGACCAACCTGGCCAACCAGTCTCTACTAAAAATGCAAAACGTGTCTGGGTGTGGTTGTACATGCCTGTAATCCCAGCTACTCAGGAGGCTGAGGCTGAAAAATCATTTGAACCTGGGAGGTGGAGGTTGCAATGAGCCGAGATCTCATCACTGCACTTCAGCCTGAGTGACAGTGAGACTCCTCAAAAAAATAAAAATAAATAAATAAAAGTAAACTGGCTGGGCGCAGTGGCTCATGCTTCACTTTGGGAGGCTGAGGTGGGCAGATCACTTGAGGTCAGGAATTCTAGACCATGTGGCCAACATGGTGAAATCCCGTCTCTACTAAAAATACAAAAATTAGTGTGGTGGCCTGTGCCTGTAATCCAAGCTACTCAGGAGGCTAAGGCAGGAGAATTGCTGGAACCCAGGAGGTGGAGGCTGCAGTAGGTTGAGATCATGCCACTGCACTCCAGCCTGGGCAACACAGCAAGACGCAATCTCGAAAAAACAAAAACAAAAAGTTTCAGATTTAGGAGCATTGTGGATTTCAGATCCAGGATGCTCAACTTGTAATTTTAGTAGTTTATGAAGAAACAAAAAGCATGTGCTTAATGCATAATAAATGTCGGCTGTTTAACTGCTGTTATTCTTCAGAGTCACCCATAATAAACCCTTAAAATTTCCTGAAGTTAACAGAAAGATGTCCTCTGCCACACTGGTACAAGGAACACTAGATATACTACTCTTATTTCTTAAAAAAACAGACATTCGCAGCAATGAAAATTTACCGTGCACTTACTGTGTATTAGACACTGCATTAAAAGCTTTACCTGTTAATTCATTTCATCCTTTGCCAATCTTCAGAAGTACTATTAGTATGTCCTCGGAAAGATTTAGTAAGTTGGCAAAGATCACAAAGCTACTAAGTGAGAGAAGAAAATTGTAAAAATCACAGAGGATAGGGACAGTGGCTCACACCTGTAATCCCAGCACTTTGGGAGGCTGAGGCGGGTGGATCACGAGGTCAAGAGATCGAGACCATCCTGGTCAACATGGTGAAACCCCGTCTCTACTAAAAATACAAAAATTAGGCCGGGCACGGTGGCTCATGTCTGTAATCCCAGCACTTAGGAAGGCCGAGGCAGTGGATCACAAGGTCAAGAGATCGAGACCATCCTGGTCAACATGGTGAAACCCCGTCTCTACTAAAAATACAAAAATTAGGCCGGGCACGGTGGCTCATGTCTGTAATCCCAGCACTTAGGAAGGCCGAGGCAGTGGATCACAAGGTCAAGAGATCGAGACCATCCTGGTCAACATGGTGAAACCCCGTCTCTACTAAAAATACAAAATTAGCTGGGCATGGTCGTGTGCTCCTGTAATCCCAGCTACTCAGGAGGCTGAGGCAGGAGAATTGCCTGAACCCAGGAGGCGGAGGTTGCGGTGAGCCGAGATTGCGCCATTGCACTCCAGCCTGGGTAACAAGCGAAACTCCGTCTCAAAAAACAAAACAAAACAAAAAAATACAAAAATTAGCTGGGCATGGTGGCGCACGCTTGTAGTCCCAGCTACTCAGGAGGCTGAGGCAAGAGAATTGCTTCAACTCAGGAGGTGGAGGTCGCAGTGAGCCGAGATCGCGCCATTGCACTCCAATCTGGGTAACAATAGCAAAACTCCGTCTCAAAAAAACAAACAAACAAACAAAAAACACAGAGGAGGTAACATCATCTCCACTATCACCCTCTAGCCTCTAAAACACTTCCAACCACTGAGGAGCCTTTCCCAGGTATTGCCTTGATTCGAAACAAGAGAACAACGTTTGACTCCTAAGCCAAGAGACAATTGCTTAATTTTCTTTTTTCTTTTTTTTTGAGATGGAGTCTTGCTCTGTCACCCAGCCTGGAGTGCAGTGGCACAATCTCAGCTCACTGCAACCTCCACCTCCGAGGTTCTCCTGCCTCAGCCTCTCCAAGTAGCTGGGATTACAGGAGCACACGACCATGCCCAGCTAACTTTGTATTTTTAGTAGAGATGGGGGTTTCACCACGTTGGTCAGGCTTGTCTCGAGCTCCTGACCTCAGGTGATCCACCCACCTCGGGCTCCCAAAGTGCTGGGATTACAGGCTTAAGCCACTGCACCTGGCCTAATTTTCTTTCACATTTAATGCAATGCCTAAAAGCACTACCTTTATAAAAGACCTGCCAGGTGCAGATCTTTATATCCAGTCATCAGACTAATCTGAAAAGAAATGGACAAGGGATTAGCAAGAGATCCAAACTCCTAAATACAAATAAATTTACTGCGTGTTTCCAAAGTGCTTGACACTGTGCTGACTGCCATATTCCTCAGTTAATGCTCACAGCAACCTTGGAGACAGATACTACTATTATTCCCATTTTGCAGAAGAGGTAACTGAGGTCAAAATTTGAATGCTATGCCCGAGGGCATACAGCTAGTTACTGGCTGCCTCCAGACCCAGGAAGCCGCTCGCCCACCACGATCTCTTACAAAGCGCTGGTTTTGGCAGGGCGTGGTGGCTCACGCCTGTAATCCAAGCACTTTGGAGGCTAAGGCGGGCGAATCACCTGAGGTCGGCAGTTCAAGACCAGCCTGACCAACATAGTGAAACCCTGTCTTAAAAAAAAAAAAAAACAAAGAAAAAAATTAAAAGAAAAAAAGTGCTAGTTTTAAATCAACTGCTCTTATAAGGCAGCTAGACCCCAACTCGCACCCAAGTGGGTGCCATCTGCGCCCTGGACCCCAGCTTTCCGTGAAAGCTGGGGCAGAGGCACTCACCCAGCCGCACGTATTCTGGTAAGGGCTCCTTGAACCGCAGCTCGTAGGGCAGGACCGCGAGCCGCCTGCGCGTGGCCTTGTCCCGAATCTCAGTGACCACCTCCCGGATGGTGTAAATGTTCTTCCCGATGTCCTGCGGACAGACCGCCCAGCTCAGACCCGCCCGCACCAAGTAAGGTTCCCCTCGACTCAAGGCTCTCCCTGAGGGGCGGCCAGTCGAGATCTCTCTCTTCCAGGAAGGAGCACCCCGTACCTGCAGAGCCGCATCCAGCAGGAAAGCGCCAGCGTCCGCCACAACGTGCTCGACGGGCGCCATGTTGGCTGAGTGAGCAGGCAGGGCGCAGGCGCACGGAGCTGGCGTCGGCTCCTAAGTCCCAGCCCAGGCCTCTGGGAACGAGGAAGAACAGCTGTGACTTGGCTGCGCCTCCTGGCGGCCGCGATAGCATCTTACGGCTATCCGCGCGCATGCGCAGCGACGCCGCCCGCGCACAGCGAGGCGTAGGCGGGCTGAAACCTTGGGGGTCACCTGGGAAATCTGCTTCAGCATCTAGGCCAGGCGTCCCCGAACTTTTTACACAGGGGGCCAGTTCACTGTCCCTCAGACCGTTGGAGGGCCGCCACGTACTGTGCTCCTCTCACTGACCACCAATGAAAGAGGTGCCCCTTCCTGAAGTGCGGCGGGGGGGCCGGATAAATGGCCTCAGGGGGCCGCATGCGGCCCGCGGGCCGTAGTCTGGGGATGCCTGCTCTAGGCCTTAGCGCCTTCTTTACCTTTGAGGATAAAACCTGCCTGGTGCGCGCCTGGAGTCCCAGCTATTTAGGAGGCTGAGGCGAAAGGACCGCCTGAGCCCAGGAATGTGAGACCAGCCTCGACAACATAGTGAGACCCCCATCTCTTAAATAAATAAATGTAAAACCTATATATATTATTCTTTTTTTTTTTTTTTTTGAAAAAAGATGGGGTTTCACCATGATGGCCAGGCTGGTCTTGAACACCTAACTTCAGGTGATCCATCCACCTTGGCCTCCCAAAGTGCTAGGATTACAGGCACGAGCCACCTCGCCCAGCCTAAACCTATATATACTCTTAGGGTTAAAAGTCAATCAATACAAATTACCTAATTTAGTTATCACAGTACTCCTATGAAACCGGTACTATTTTACAGACAAGGGATAGCTACTTAAGGCCACTAGGTCTAGCTGACATAGTCAGGTGGCAGAAATAATGTAACACCTAAACAAACTCATTCAGAGCCACTTTCTATCTCTCTCTCTTCTCTTTCCTTTTTTTTTTTTTTTTTGGAGACAGGATCTCTCTCTGTTGCCCAGGCTGGAGTGCAGTGACACGATCATAGCTCACTGCAACCTTCAACTCCCAGGCTGAAATGAGCCTCCCAGCCTCTCAAATAGCTGGGACCACAGGCCCGCACCACCATGCCTAGCTAACTTTTTCATTTTTACTTTTGTAGAGATGAGGATCTCATCATATTGCCCAGACTAGTCTCAAACTCCTGGGTTCAAACAATCCTCCAGCCTTGGCCTCCTAAATGCTGGGATTACAGGTGTGAGCCATGGTGTTGTTCCTGAGCCACCTAATTATCCGTTATGTTATACTGACTGCCGCTTATACGCCCTCACTTCATTTTTTTTTTCTTTCACTTTTGAGAAAGTCCTCACTTAATTTTGAGCAACTTGAGGCCAGATTCTGTATAATTTGTCTTAACAGTCTCACCCTACCTACCTCCCTAAGCAATGCATATAATTTGGTAGCAAATAATTCCTTGCTGAATTGAACAGAAGGTGTATTTAGGGCCAGGTGCGGTGGCTCAAGCCTGTAATCCCAGCACTTTGGGAGGCCGAGGCGGGTGGATCACGAGGTCAAGAGATGGAGACCATCCCGGTCAACATAGTGAAACCCTGTCTCTACTAAAAATACAAAAAATTAGCTGGGCATGGTGGCGCGTGCCTGTAATCCCAGCTACTCAGGAGGCTGAGGCAGGAGAATTGCCTGAACCCAGGAGGCGGAGGTTGCGGTGAGCCGAGATTGCGCCATTGCACTCCAGCCTGGGTAACAAGAGCGAAACTCCATCTCAAAAAAAAAAAAAAGAAGGTTTATTTAATGACTTCTGGGTTTCTTTGCAAATCTGAAATTTCTTGCCAGCCGCGGTGGCTCACGCCTGTAATCCCAGCACTTTGGGAGGCCGAGGAGGGTGGATCACGAGGTCAAGACATCGAGACCATCCAGGTCAACATGGTGAAACCTCGTCTCTACTAAAAATACAAAAAATTGGCCGGGCGCGGTGGCTCAAGCCTGTAATCCCAGCACTCTGGGAGGCCGAGGCGGGTGGATCACGAAGTCAAGAGATCGAGCCCATCCGGGTCAACATGGTGAAACCCCGTCTCTACTAAAAATACAAAAAATTAGCTGGGCATGGTGGCGCGTGCCTGTAATCCCAGCTACTCAGGAGGCTGAGGCAGGAGAATTGCCTGAATCCAGGAGGCGGAGGTTGCGGTGAGCCGAGATCGCGCCATTGCACTCCAGCCTGGGTAACAAGAGCGAAACTCCGTCTCAAAAAAAAAAAAAAAAAAATACAAAAATTAGCTGGACATGGTGGCACACGCCTGCAGTCCCAGCGACTCGGGAGGCTGAGGCAGGAGAATTGCCTGAACCCAGTAGGTGGAGGTTGCAGTGAGCCGAGACAGTGCCATTGCACTCCAGCCTGGGTAACAAGAGCGAAACTCTGTCTCAAAAAAAAAAAAAAAATCTGAAATTTCTTGATTATAAGATCTGGTGAATTTTGACTGAATGTTGACTTGGGTCTTCATCCAAACTTTCTTCATTAGGTCTTCACTCCAATTGTATTCCTCAATTGTAATTTATCTGTCCTACCCCAAAAATGCTTCAGTGCTTCTGAAGGTCCCCTTTCAGCAATTACCCAAACTCAATCTTTCTCTTTTTTTGGTTAGGGGCAGACTGAGTTTTGCTCTCATCAGCCAGTCTGGAGTATATCGGTGCGATCTGGACTCACTGCAACCTCTGCCTCCCAGGTTCAACAATTTCCTGCCCCAGCCTCCTGAGTAGCTGAGATTATGGGCATCCGCCACCATGCCTGGCTAATTTTTGTGATTTTAGTATCGATGGGGTTTCACCATATTGGCCAGGATGGTCTCGAACTCCTGACGTCAGGTGATTCACCTGCTTCGACCTCCCAAAGTGCTGGAATTACTTTCTATACTTGTTCCAGTTCCAGTTTTTATTAAAAGCATTACTCACACCTGGCCAATATGGTGAAACCCAGTCTCTACTTAAAAAAAAAAATACAAAAATTAGCTGGGCGTGGTGGCGGGCATCTGTAATCCCAGCTACTCAGGAGGCTGTGGCAGTAGAATCGCTTGATCCCGGGAGGCAGAGCTTGCAGTGAGCTAAGATCGCACCACTGCACTCAAGGCTGGGTGACAGAGCAAGACTCTGCCTCAATAAATAAATAAATAAATAAAAATAAAAATGAAAAAGAAAAAAGCATTACTCACAGTAGAATTCAAGGTGGGAATCTCTAAGCCATCCCCGTCTCTACCCTCAGGCTCAATCAGTCCTCTTCTCACAAAAACTTTTTTTTTTTTTTTTTGAGACAGAGTCTCGCTTCATTGCCAAGCTGGAGAGCAGGGGCACAATCTTGGCTCACTGCAACCTCAGCCTCCCAGGTTCAAGCAATTCTCCTGCCTCAGCCTCCTGAGTAGCTGGTACTACAGGTGCATGACACCACACCTGGTTAATTTTTTGTATTTTTAGTAGAGAAAGGGTTTCACCATGTTAGCCAGGATGGTCTGAATCTTCTGACCTTGTGATTTGCCTGCTTCAGCCTCCCAAAGTGCTGAGATTACAGGCATGAGCCACAGTGCCCAGCCATCATAAAACTTTTTTGATACCACTCTGAAATGTCTGTGGTGTTTGGATCCCTTCACATCCACTCCCATTATGCAAATCAAGTTTTTATCTCTTGCCCAGAAAACAGAATTCCTTCAACACTACTATTCGTGTCTCTCATTTCTTTTACAACTGATCTCCCACATTGACGTAAAAGCAAAGGAAACGTGGGAATTGGACTCCAATATAAAGCAGGTTTATTGAAGTTGGTAGCAATTGCTCTGTGAACCTAGAATGAAGAAGAATGATATAGGTCGATGGATCTCAAATAGGTGGTCTTCAAACAGAATCACCTAGAGAACTTGTGAATACAAATGACTGGGCTTTATACTCAGTTTCTGATTCAGTAGGTCTAGACAAGGCCTAAGAATTAATTCCTCCCTCCCTCCCTCCCTCCCTCCCTCTCTCCCTCCCTTCCATCCTTCCCTTTCTTTTGAGATAGAGTCTCATGCTATTGCCCAGGCTGGAGTGCAGTGACATGACTACAGCTCACTGCAGCCTTGACCTTCTGGCCCCAAGCAATTATCCTGCTTCAACCTCCTGAGCAGCTAGGGCTACAGGTGAGCACCACCACACCTGAATAGTTTTTGTATATCTTTTTCAAGTTGGAGGTGTCACCATGTTGCCCAGACTGGTCTCAAACTCCTGGGCTCAAGGGATCCTCCCACCTTGGCCCCTCAAAGTGCTGAGATTAAAGATGTTTGCATATCTGAGTTCCAAGGAGTGTTGATGCTGCAAACTTGAGGGCCACACTTTGAGAACCACTGATGTACAAGAATAGTCAGGAAGGCCAGGCGTTGTGGCTCATGCCTATAATCCCAGCATTTTGGGAGGCCAAGGTGGGTGAGTCACCTGAGGTCAGGAGTTCAAAACTGGCCTGGCCAACATGGTGAAACCCCATCTCTACTAAAAATACAAAAACTAGGCTGGGCGCGGTGGCTCAAGCCTGTAATCCCAGCACTTTGGGAGGCTGAGGTGGGTGGATCACAAGATCGAGACCATCCTGGTCAACATGGTGAAACCCCGTCTCTACTAAAAATACAAAAAATTAGCTGAGCATGGTGGCATGTGCCTGTAATCCCAGCTACTCAGGAGGCTGAGGCAGGAGAATTGCCTGAGCCCAGGAGGCGGAGGTTGCGGTGAGCCGAGGTCGCGCCATTGCACTCCAGCCTGGGTAACAAGAGTGAAACTCCGCCTCAAAAAAAAAAAAAAAAAAAAAATACAAAAATTAGCCAGGTACGGTGGTGGGCACCTGTAATCCCAGCTACTTGGGAGGCTGAGGCAGGAGAATTGCTGGAACCCAGGAGGTGGAGGTTGCAGTGAGCCAAGATCATGCCATTGCACTCCAGCCTGGGTGATACAGTGAAACTGTGTCTCAAAAATAAATACATAAATAAAAAGGAAAAAAAAAGAATAGGAAAAAAAAATCAGGCTTTGAGCTATTATTTT